GGTTTCTCACTGAAAATCTTCGTCCCCCCTCTGGTAATCGGTTTCTAACCAGTTTCGGGCAATTTTCCAACCTGATTCGGGAACGCGCATTTTCCAACCAGATTCGAGTAAAATTCCAACCAGATTCAGAAAGTTTTTATTTTCCGACCAGATCCGGTGATTTTCTGACCAGATCCGACCGAGAAAGCTAATTTCCCAACCTGATTCGGACAATTTTCTAACCAGATCTAGCCATTTCTGTCCGGAAATTTCCCGAATCTGGTTGGAAACCGATTACCAGAGCCGTCGGCACTTTTTTTTTTGAAATTTCTTCCTTTTCAACGCCATTTTTCGGGAATTTCGGATTTTCTTTGAATTTTTTCGCAATAAAATCCGGAAGATAGATAACTTTCAACACATTTTAATGCAATAAAAACTTTTGGCCGGAGTCCCCCTTTAAAATTACTTTCCTTCAGTGTTCACTGTTTATAGTATCAGAACTTTTTTATTTTCTGAAATTCTCATTTTATTTTTTACGGTTTAAGGGTTTTTGCATACTTGTAACGGGCCGGTCCGGGCTTTTCCAATTTTCGGAGGCCCGGCGGGCCCGTCATTTCACAAATTTCGAAAATTTTTATGTGATTTTTTTGAATTTTTTCGATCTTTTTTGATCAAACAGACAAACAACCCAAAAAAGCAAAAAAAGGAGAAAATTATTGAGAGCTCACAATTTGGCTCAAAAATACAGAATTTTTGATATCGGGCCTTCCGGGCCGGGCCCGGGCACAAATTGGTTCTGAAAAATTAAAATTAAAAAAAAAAATTGGAAAAAAATTTTTCCAGACCTTTTTTCGAACCCCAAACATCATTCTTACAGTATTCCGATATTGAACAGACATCAAAAAACAAATCAAGCAATGAGTAATTGCATTTAAAGTGAATATTGCATTGCATATGTGACTCACACTAGTGGCAATGTACCTCCCATGGTAAAGTTTGTTCTAAACATTTAAAGAAAATCCCGAAATCTTAAAAAGTTGTGAATGACAAGTTTAAATCCCTGTTTGATCTGGACTTCAAAATTGATCATTTTCCACTCAAAACAACGCCAAAATTTGAGTGCAACAAAACCACAAAAGTGATTCAGAATGTGATCTTGTAGGAACACTTTTTGGATTTGTCCCTGTCAGAAAATTAGTGATTTTTGTCGTATTTTTTGTTGTTGAGTTCCGGATAGATCAGTTCAATGACGAACATGGAAACGGAAAATATTGACAATTAACAAAACCATCAAACGGAAAATATCATAGTTTCAAAAGGCCGGGCCGGGCCGGGCCGGTAGACGAATTTTCTCGGCCCGCCTACCACTGTTGTAATTTTCCAATTAAAATTTGGGTAATTTTTTTGAATTAAAAAAGAAAAAAGGTAACATTATTTAACAAAATTAACAAAGTAGTAAGTAGTCGAAAAACAGGACGTTTTTGTTTAAATTTTTGAAAAAATTCAAAAAAAATCAGCGTCTGTATGTACCCCGGGCCGGAACTTCATCGGCCCGGCCCGGCCCGCCGAATTTCTCGACGGGTCGACCCGCGTGCCGGGCCGGCCCGAGATTTCGCAACTATGGAAAATATATATGTTTCCAGAAACCACAATGGTTTGGAATAGTTGATTTTCCGAAATTTGGACATTCAGAGAGCAAAAATGTTTAAAGGTGGGGGGACAGGAGATTTTACGGGGGATTTTTGGGGCCAGAGTATGCATTCTACCGTGACGGTGTACAACGCTTAATGTCACTCTGCGTACAGCTGTCGTCCTCGCCTTTATGTATGCAATCGGGCGACCGCTTTCTCTTTGCCCGTGTAGCTCAGTCGGTAGCGGCGCCGCACCCTCAATCCTCGTCCCACACGTTCAACTCCTCGAGAGGCATATTTAAACGAAATTCCGAGAACATTATTTTTTTCATGTCCCCCCACCTTTAAAATATGGAGATTTTCAAATTGCAAGATTTTGGGAATTCGAAATTTTGGAAAATCAAAAATCGAATGGTTGAATTTGCAGATTAAACAAATCTTTTATCAAAATACTTCTAAAATTGCAGAATTTCGACATTTTCAGATTTTTCAGAAATTATGAAAAGTTAGAAATTTGAAGTTTTCCCATTGAATCTTCTGACTTCCAAAAGTTCATTTTCTGCGATTTTCTGGATTCTTAATTTCAGAAATTCAAAAAAAACTTCTGAAAATCTGAAATTTGTAGATCTTGAATTTTCGAAATTCAATTATGAAATTCTGAAATTTCAAAGTCTAGAAATCTGTGATCTCAGGAATTCCTAATTTGGAAATGCTGGAAATCTGAAATCCTGGAATTTCAAAATTTCAAAAATTCCGAAATTTTGAAATTCAAAAATTCTGAAATTCTGAAAAAACGAAAATCTTCACACCAAATCCGTGTCTTCTGAATCATCGTTCGGTGTGTTCTGATCCTTTCCTCACGTCAATCAAAATTCCTTCTTTTGTTTTTCATAATTTTTCTTAAAATCTGTGACATATTTTTCTCAGTTGACGCCTCCTCAAAACTACAAAAATTGTCGAGCACATTTCGTTTTTAATTTCCGGAAAAATTTATATAAAACCCACTGGTAACCAATGGAAAATCATAAAAATTTTCTTTTAAAAAATTCTCACATTTCTCTGAAAAATGACACTAAAATGGTACCTGGGAATGGGCTCATTCTCTCTATCTCTGTTTTCGATTTTTCTGAATTTATTGATATTTTTCCCAGTTTTCCGGCTGGCTTTCATTCAAAAAAAGAGCTCAGTTTATATCATTGCATTTTTTAATATTATTTCTGACCTGCTACAACTTTTTGTCACTTGTTTCTATCTCTCCGCATCGACTATGGCCGATGTAAGTTTTTGGAGGGATACTGTAGTTTTTATAGGGGTACTGTAGGTCAGGTTTAAGGGGTTCAGAACACTGTAGGACTACTGTACCGCCTAGTTGGCAATATACTTATGCTTCAAACTTTTAAGAGATCTTGTAGCTTACACGAGTTGAGTAGGACCATAGGAGTACTGTAGGTATTCGTTGGAGAAGTGAAAGTCTACGGTAATCCTGCCTGGGACTACTGTAGATTTTCATTAAAAAATTTTCCATTAGAAAAGAATACGGTAGGATTACTTGTAAACCTTTTCTTTCAATCTGTGTGACACTGGAATTACTGTAGCATCCAGGAATTGAGTAGGATTACTGTAGCCTGGTGGGAAACCTAGACGGTAACCTAAACGCCTACAGAAATCGTTTTTTTTTTAAGTTGTAGGAAGTAGTACTGTAGATATCACGGTTTCAAACTAGGATTACTGTAGGTAATCCAGGTTAAACTAGGGTTACAGAAACTTAGCAGGAGTACTGTAGATCAGTAAGGTTGCTGTAGTTACAGTAATCCTTTATTTGGTTGTTAAGGAATCTTAATAAGGATACAGAAGCGGGATTACTCTAGATTTGGAAGGATACTGTAGGATTACTTTACCCACCGTAACCTAAAAACCTTGATTTTGTTCCAGCGTTACGTAATCACTGGAGACCGAATGAACACATTGGCGGTGATTTTTGGGTGGATTTTTATCAATGCTTGGTATATGGAATGTCTTGTACAGATTGTTATGGCTGCGAATCGGTAATACAAATGAAACGATTACTGTAGTTTAGAATATCAGCAACCGGCACATCGAAATCTCAAAACTATAGAAACGGGCGAAATTTTGAAATTGGGATTTTCGAGAATTCTAGAATCCAAAATTTCGATCTTTCAGAGTTCGAAAATCCTGAAAACTGTACTTTTAAGTTTTAAGACTTTGGAGATTTGGAATTGTGAAATTCTAGAATTCTGAAATGTCGGGGTTTATAAAAGCAAGAATTCAAAAGTTCTGAAATTTGGGAAGATCAGAAAATTAGGAATTCAGAAATTCAGAAAACCGGAAATTCTGAAATTACGAAATTCTGAGAATCTGAAGCTCTGCAAGATTTTTCGAAACTTCGAAAATCCAAACTTTTGAATTCTGAAAATCTGATATTTCGAAAGTCTGAATATCCGTAATTCCAGAAAATTCGAAACTGAAAATTCGAAATCTTGAAATTTTGAAATTCAGAGATTCTCAACGTTCAGATTCCAAGATTTGGGGGTACGACGAATTCGAACGCTTCCAAAATCGAACAGACCTAAAACCGAACATGTGTCAAAACAGAACAAGAGCAGAATCGAACTCTGCGAAATTCGAACTGTGTCGGTGTCAAACTGTCCCTAATTGGAACGCTGTTAGCCATGGGGCGCGCTTGCATTTTTCTTTAAATTAGTGACTTTTTTCTTGAGAAAACTTAAAAAATATATACGAATCAGTTTTATCAGAAACAAAAACAACAAGAATATTTTTTTAAAGGTGGGGGGTCATGAAAAAATAATGTTCTCGAAATTCTGTTTAAATATGCCCCTCGAGGAGTTGAACTTGTCGAGGCGAGTATTGAAGGTGCGGCGCCGCTACCGACTGAGCCATGCGGGCGAAACTGGAGCGGGCGCCTGATTGCATACATAAAGGCGATGACGACCGCTGTACGCAGAGTGACATTAAGCGTTGTACACCGTTACGGTAGAATGCATGCATGGCCCCAAAAATCCCCCGTAAAATCTCCTGTCCCCCCACCTTTAAAGGAAAAAATAAAAATTTGCGGGGAAAAATGAGAAAACAAAAATAATGCAAGCGCGCCCCATGGCTAACAGCGTTCCAATTAGGGACAGTTCGACTCCGACACAGTTCGAATTTCGCACAGTTCGATTCTGCTCTTGTTCTGTTTTGACACATGTTCGATTTTAGGTCTGTTCGATTTTGGAAGCGTTCGAATTCTTCGTACCAACCCCCCCCCCCCCTCCCCCAAAATTTTCCAACTTTCTTTTTTTCCAGATTCTGTATAATCACTCTAAAACAGTATCACATTTTCACATTCAATTTCACAATGGTCGTTTTTGCGATTTTGATTTCAATCACTTCGTTTTCCGCCGTCTGTACTCAGTACTTGTTTCCCTGTTGTGTGTAAGTTCGCTCCATTGATAATCTGTGGAAATTTTCAAAAATTCAAAATTGTAGGACATCCCGAAGATTCAGAAATCTTAAAATTTTCCAAGAAATTTAAGATAAAAGAGCTTCGGGAAAATTCTAAAATTCTAAAATTCAAATATCAATTTTCAGATTTATCTCCGATCACACAATCATGTCATTTATGTTTCATAATCCCTCAAATGAATATTCATATTCAAATCTCATGTTGGTTTCCTACGACGTCTTCTGCACATTCGCTTCTACAGTATGCTACATTTCTGTATTTTTCTCAATTCGAAATTCCTACAAAGACGCTGCTGCAAGTGTACAAAATGATCAAAATAAGAAGAATAATAAGGATGTGAAGTGAGTAAATTCGCTCCATTGCGAATTCTAGAAAAATTCGAAAAAAAACTTTGGAGTCCCACAAAAGAAGTCTAAGATTTTTTTAATTTGTCTGAAAATTTCAGATTTCTATACCAAACAAAAATAGAGCTTCATCCTTTGTTTTGAATTCGCGCCAAAACTAGGAATTTCGAAAAATTTTGGTTTTGGGGGTTTTTCTAGATTTTTTGCCAAATTATTAGACCTTTTTTAGGTTTTTCAGACATTTTTGAAGTTCCTTTTTCGATTTTTTCGAATTTTTTGTCGGAAATTTGTGTTCGCGATTACTGTAGGTTACTGTAGAAAACTATTTTTCTTGTAGTTTGTAGTTTCGGTTTTTGCAAACGCATTCACGTCAAAATCAAAAACTACAAACTACAAAAGGAAATAAGTTTTCTACAGTATTCTACAGTAATCTTGGCGAACATCATCCCGTCAATTTTAAGACAAAGTCTGTCAAATTTCGAAAATTCGAAATTTTCAAAACTTTCAAATTCCAGAAATTTCAGAAATCCAGGAATTCATTTTTTTTTAATTTCAAAACTTAAAAATACGAAAATGGGAAATTCAGCAAATTGAAAATTCGAAAATTTCAAATTTTGAATCTTAAAAATTAAAAAGTTCGAAAACTCGAAAAATTCTAAAATTCTAAACTTTAAAAACTCGAAAAACCGAAATTTCAAAAATTCAAAAAATTGAAATGCCATAATTCCAAAACTCAAAATTCAATACTTTTCCACTTTTTCTGACTTTCCAAAACTTCGAAAATTCCAGATATCTTCTCCAATTCGTGTTCATCTCAATATTCTACATTTTCACATGGGTCCTATTTGAACTTCTTCCCCATATCGTACCATCGAATCATTTGGAATGGTACTCAATTGTTCCCGTTTTGGTTACATTGAATTGCTCATCTAATTCTGTTATCTATTTATCTTGCAATCGAGAAGTCAGGAAATCAATTCAAATTCCATTTATGTCGAAATTCTTTGGAAATTCGAAAGTTTCAACAACTGTCGTTACAACCAATGCGCAATCTACAGCTGTCACTAATTGATTTCTTTTTTTGAGAAATTCTAAAAATAATGTTTTCAAAAGGTATATAACTAATAAAGTTGAATTGTTAAACAAAATATGTACAGAATGTTAGTTGATACATAGTACTAATTATACACATAAGGACAAAATAAGAATAGATAGTAAAAATAAAAAATTCAAAATAAGTTATAATCTTGGACGAGGAGCCCATCGCTTCTGCTGTGGTACATCATGTCGTTCTCGATCTGGACGACTTAGAAGGTGTCTGATTCGAGATCCTCTTCGAACTTCATGATCGATAACATCCTGAATATTGCTCAGACTTCCTTGTGCAATCGGACCAAGATCGAATCCGTGTCTCTCATCTCGCATTTCCAAAATGAGGAAGAGAATTCTTTCCTGGACTTTCTGAAAAAAAAATTGTTGATTTACAGTAGTGTGGCGTTTCGAAAACTAATCTTCGAAAATCTTGCTATATCCGCTCAACAGTACGCACGCGACATTTTTAAATGTCGTTTGATGGGTTGTGGCCTAACTTTCTCAACATGAAGTTTCTAGGCCACCAATGTTGATGGCCTAGAAATGGTCTACATTCATCTGATGTGTTTTCTAGGTCATTTACCATGATGGCCTAGAAAAACCCGCTTTGCGAAAGTTAGACCACCATGCTAAAATTGTCTAGAAATCACACCAAATGAATATCAGGTCATTTCTAAGCCAAAAAAAATTGGTGGCCTAGAAAACTCAACTTGCAATAGTTAGGTCACCACGTCAAAACAGTGATCTGATGGTGTGTTTTCCAGGCCATTTTGAGCTGATGGTGTGTTTTCCACAAATGAGCTGATGGTGTATTTTCCAGGCCATTTTGACATGGTGGCCTAACCTTCGCAGGCTGAATTTTCTAGGCGACCGACTTCTATGGCCCAGAAATGAACTGATATTCGTTTGGTGATTAATAGACCATTTCAGCATGGTGGCCTAACTTTTGCAAAGTGGTTTTTCCAGGCCACCATGGTAAATGGCCTAGCAAACAATGGACAGTGTCCACTGGACACACAAACTGTTCGAAAGTTTCGAAATGTTTCGACAGCGAGTGGCCGGAGGTCTCACGACGAAAACTACCGTAACCTAAACATATTTTCATTTTCTGTTTTTTTTTGTTTTTAGTTGATTTTCGACGATTTTTCCGTTATTTTTCACAAATGAGTCGGAAAACTAAAGTACGAAAATCGAGATAATAAATCTGGACAATAAACATTTTCAGGTTACGGTAGTTGTCGTTGTGGGACCTTCGCCCACCGGCGTTTCTCTTCTAAAGCTCCAATTTTTTGGTACCAAAATGTTATAATTTCTCACATGTCGTCCATTGTTTCGATTTTTCAGAAAAAAAATTGACTACAAAACTAACCCGAACTCTATAAGCATCTGTGTCTCCCTCGCGAATCAATTGGTTAATAATTTCTCCATACGGAAGCGTATCCACGACACTTCCCACCTCCCGACGCCATATCATCAACTCGTCATGGGCGCCGACTTCATCCCCTTCGAAAAATCGAATCACAATTCGTCGTGCTCGCTCCAGAAGTACCTGTCTATCTATTGGCTTTCTTTCTTCAGGTTTATTTTCTGGAGCGTTTCCTCCTCCTTCTCCTCCTCCTCCACCTTCTTCCATTCGCTCATCATCATCATCATCGCCTCTTCGATCCTCTCTTCCTCCTCCCTTGCCTCCAGAACCACCGAATCCCCAGAACTGTGCACCCGAAGAAGAGGTTCCAGGTTCTGCAGAGTCTTCCTCTGCACACATCCATGACGAGGAGACCGGTTGGCGTTGATAATCCCAAAATTTGAGTCGTGTGTTTCGAAAAACGATTTGAGTGAGATTCACAATTTCCGGGATGAACCACTCGTCGAGAAACCAGAGAGCGACGGCGGTGACGTCCATCTGGAAATCAGAAATTAGTACATCTGTTTAAAAAAAGAGTTCAAGGTAAAGATGAGGCAAAGCAACTCAGAAAAATTAATTTTACAGGAAATTTCCGAAAATTCAGTAACTATTTATACAATTATTCGACAAAATTACTAAAAATAGAGAGAAAATCCAAAAAAACAAATTATGCTGCAACCGAATTTCCATAAGAATTTCCTAAAATCGATTCTCCGACTCGCGCCTGAAAAAAACAATTTTTCGAAAAAAAAAACGGGGAGGATCGTAGAAAACGAGCAGAAAACGTTTCTAAAATATCAAAAAATCGATAAAATTCATAGAAAATCGGGAAAATCTGAAAAATTTCGAGAAAAAATCACCAAAAAACGGCTGAAAATAACAGAAAAAAATTCAAAACCAACGAGCGGCGATGGACGGTTCTAGAAGAAATTTAAAGGCGCCTGCAATTTAATTTAGTTCGGAGTCTCGCCACGAAATTAACTTTTTCAAATTTTAAATTTATTTTAAAGCAGTTTAAAATTGCTTTTTCATTAGAAAATTTATGAAAAAACAAAGAATAAATTTGCTAAAATTTTTTGCACATAACAATTTTACAAAATATACGTTGAATTCTTCCAGAAAAATCAAAGTTCTGAAACTACGGTAGCTTGAAGGCGCATAAACGATTGGAAATTATAAAAAAATTGATTTTCGCGCCATTGGAAAATTAGGCGCCAAGCGACAGAATTTGAAAATTGAAAAACATTGTATTGCAAATTTGCACTGTTTTCAACCGTTTTTTCGCCAATTTTTCGTATTTTTCCGGATTTTTCGTCATTTTTTTCAGCCATGTCAGATTTCTCTCGCCTTCTACTAATTTCTACGGGCTTCCTCATCACCGCAATCACCCTCAAATCGTCCGATTCGGCACTAGCCAGGAAAAGTATGGATTTCGCGAAAATCGACGAGCAAGTTCAAAAAGACATCGAGAAGTCGTTCAGAAAAACACTAAGCCGACTTGGCGATTTCGTAATGGATTTGCCAGCGAAAATTGTGATACAAAGGCTGAAAAATGTCGAAGGAAACACATTCAACGACCCGTTTCTCGTCGGAAATTCTGTAATTTTTTTTGTATTTTTTTCTAGAAAAAATCGATTTTTTCCAGCAGCAAGTCACATCATCTATTTACGTTTCCGATGCAGTTTCCGATTGGTGTAAAGGAGTGATTTCTAAAAATACTCGCAAGGATTTCGAGCACAAAAATCGAAGAATTGAAGTCGTTTTTGACTGTAACCGTGATATGGGTAATCGATTATTGATTTTTTTGAATTTTGAAAAATTATTGTTTCCCAGTCTTCCCATCGCTTCGAACCATCGTCCGATGTATTCTCATTCTGCTGGCCACCAACGCTTTGCTCGCTATTGCCCTATTTATTTTCAGAATTTAGTAATTATTTTTAAAAAAATTTCCCGCCAAAAAATTCAAAAAAAGTTCCAGAAGAGCGCAAATTCCCCAAGAAACCCCTATCGAAAAACAAATCACCATTGACGACTACATTTTAGATGACGACGACGACGCCATCAACGATTCCTTATTTCTGGAAAATGCTGAAAAATGGGATGCGTCGAAATTGGAGTCGTGCTATGATTAGCCGGTGATGATGATAATTGTATTTTGAATTTTATCGATTTTTTTTATGTTGTACAAAGTTTTTTTTTCCGATTTTTCGAAGCCTTTTTGACAAAATTTGATTATTTTCTGGCTTGTAAAATGAAATTTTCCACATTAATTTTCAGTTTTTTTACCACAATTCTTCGGAAACATTCTCAGGCTTTGCACGGCGGTGAAATCAGGTACATGGATTT